TTTATCAGACTTGTTCTATTGTACTCAGTGGTTTTTCAAAGTTTTTTTTTTTTACCCTATTTAATACACCTCTATATGGGCACCATTAGTCGCACGAAGCACATCAAGACGGTACTCGATCTCTTGCCATGTTCGCTGTACCATAGCCTCATCAATGGTTGCAATCGCATCTGTTATCTTTTGCTTTAGTTCAGTTATGTCCCGTATCTTTGTTCGATACACGATATCTTTAACATAGCCCCATAGAAAGAAATCCAGAGGTGTGATATCTGGTGAACGTGGTGGCCACGGAACTGGCCTTTGTAATAAATATTTTAAATTGTAAAAAAAAAACTTTATAGACACCCTGTATAATGAGCTATCTGTGCTACGCCTACCGCGGGTATCGAAACCCGAATTTTAGCGTTATAAAGCCCTCAGATTTATCGCTGAGCCACCGGAAGGTGGGGGGCGTAGAGAATGGTAAACTTAAGGGAGGTTTTGGTGTGTAGTAATAATTAGTAAATATTCTCTGTAAAGAATGTGGTTGGTTGCTGCTAGATGTTTAAGTCGTTTTTCGTGGAAACCTGTTTGTTATTCAGTACCAGTGATATAGTTGCACCAAGATTTACTGCTCTATTTAAAACGGGTGTTGTTTAATATTATTATATTTTCCTTTGTTATTTCTTCATGTGCTTACAAGATATAGGGAATTTTTCATGAGCCTGAACTAGTTTGTAGTAAGTTTATTAAGTATCTTCTTAATAACAAATACTGTTATGTTTACAGTATACAGAGGTGTAGGGGGCCAATTGAAAGTGGGGGAGCCCAAGGTTTATTGGACTAACCGAAGCGAAGGAATGTGCGTCGGGAGTGCAAGGCTCACTTTAGGGCCCTGGAAGCTTTTGGATTATAGATTAAATTTTATGCATGCTCCTGATTTGCTTGAAAGTAATTTTGCTAATTTTGATGCATTTTTATTGGGGGGCATGATTGAAAAGTGGGGTCTCCTTCCCCGCTTCCTACGCCACTGGTTTAAAAAGGCGTCTACTATACTGGCTAGAGCTTTTAAATGCTCTTTAGCTGTTATAAATGCTATGATATTAATAATGTAGGTTCTTAATGAATAATTTCAAATATACTATTGTAATTACGTTTAACTAAAGTAACTCCCTCTTACGTAATTTCAGGAAAATTGTTGTTTTTTGAGATTTAAGTATGCAATCTGTTTGGAAATTGACACATTTTTCTTCACAGTTTAAAGTCCTATTTGCTTGTATAAACTAACTAATAGAAGTTTTATCAACGTTTCTACTATGATATTACTCTATTGAAGTTTCTAAAGTATTAAGTGCTTGTCTTAAGTGTATTACACGTTTAATCATGTGTTTTCCGTGATATTACTACATTGCTAAAGTTTCTAAAGTAACGTTATCACTATTAAGTGCTTGTCTTAAGTGTATTACACGTTTAATCATGTGCTGCCCCCCAGTAGCACAGCGGTATGTCTGCGGACTTACAACGCTAGAAACCGGGTTTCGATACCCGTGGCGGGCAGACCACAGATAGCCCATTGTGTAGCTTTGTGCTTAATTAAAAAAATAAATAAATAATAATAATAATGTGTTTTCTGACCAATAGGGCAGCCAAGTAGTGTGAGAGACGAAGAGTGGACGGAACCGAAGAACGAGCACTCAAATAAACGGCCACATTCCAGACAATTCCATGCGGCATCCGGAAATGCATTTTCAGTGGATCTTCAAAACTCAAGTGTGGAATTAGAAGTAGGCCACGTTATTCTTTGTGTAATAAAACTTTTATGAATGATGTTTCGCCCATATTTAGTGGTTGCTAAGTTCAACACATTAATCACTCTAGGTCATAAGACGCACATTTAGTGTAGACTAGATTTAACATTATTAATCATTGTTGACTGTGTGGTGTACATTTAATGCCTGCTAGTTTCAACACTTATCAACCACTGTTGTACGTATTTTGAGGGGTAGGTTCAAATTGTTAATTGTTATTAGGCATAGTAGTGTACCTAGTATTATTATTATGTTTCAATTATGTTTTAATAGTTATGTAATATTGCAACATACAAAGAATTATTATTTGATGTGGGTCATAATTGTTTCCAAATTTTCCGTAAACATTACAGCTAAACCTTCACTGACTCTAACTATACTTGTCATTAATATTAGGCCTATTATATTTTAGACACTATATTCCTTATCCAATTCCTTAGGGATTTTCAAGATTTAGAAGAGTGTATGATAAAAGTATCTTAGCTACGCCACATTCGTCAGGTACATTGCCGACGAAGCGTTTCTCTCAATCCAGAGCTCTTCAGGCCGGTTGGGATACAACAAATACGGTGCTAAAGTCTTATGATAAGCGGTTGAGATACAACGAATACGGTGCTAATGTCTTATGATAAGCGGTTGAGATACAACGAATACGGTGCTAAAGTCTTATGATAAGCGAATACGGTGCTAATGTCTTATGATAAGTATATTTATAATCATGCTTCTTCGCCAGCTTGTAAAAGGCGTACATAACATAACTTCGCTGATTCTGTACAGTGGCCGTTGTAACAAATCACGTCTTCAAACAAAATGTTCATTGCTTTTGTTTTGAAGTTCAGTTTTGTTTACCAGCGAGCTGGTAGCAAATGAATTAAAATTTATTAGCGAAAATGTAATTCAATGTTGAATTTAATACTCCACCTACATTTTATTAAAGAAACTACACAATGGACTATATGCGCTCTGTCCATCGCGGGAAGTCGAATCTCAGATTTTGCGTTTTAAAGTTCGTAAACTTGCCGCTGACCCACCGGAGAACTAAACCTATATGCTACCAGTCAAAGTGTTAATTACAAAACAACCATTTACTATAGAAAGTAATAATAAAAAAACAAAATTTCACAGTCTCAAAAAATACTGAATAACTTATTGTACAGGATTCTGACGACACTGTAAACGGTTTCATATAATCGACACGTCTTACTGTGCCATCCTCAGGAGTTTTTTTCATCCTGTATAATAATTTATTCATTATTTTTATTGTGTTTCTGAGATTGGAAACAGTCTTAATTTCACGATTATTGTATATGATAAATCTTTATTTTTTAAAAAGAATTTTTACTTTAGGCAGGTGCCGTCTGAATATGTATATCCTACTAATTTTGAGTTGAATTATAAAATTGGCTTATTTCGATATTTTATCTCAAATGTTTTTAAAGTGTCTCCAAGCAACTGGGAATGGTTGACGGGAAAGATGTATATCTCTTTGTTTTTTAGTGTGAGTATTGTGATTTGTTTTTAATCTTTATCTTTCCGGACGAAGATCCTCCCCCGGCGAACGGAATTAACTGATCGTTCAAATTGATTAATGACATTTTAATTAGACAACGTTCGATCAAGACAGTTGTCCACTTAGGTCTTTGATGCGGGATCTAATCGAGTTGGGTGGGCCACAAATCCTCCACGTTTTAGTAGATTGGTCGATAAAAAGCCCTCTGTGTAGCTTTGCGCTTAACTACAAACAAACAAAACAATAACGTGATTAAAAATACTCATTTCTATGAACATGCTGACATGTAACACAGTGGTGAAATGACCGAAATATTCATAAACAGATGTGAATAACGTATTTGACACTATTGCGAGAAGATAGAGTTGTAGAGTTTAATCTATGCATTTATATCGTAGTTTAAATAGAAAACGTAGAAGTATAGCGTATGTAAAATAGATATGATTTATCGTGTTTCAGTTTACAATGACGACATTAAACATTCCTGATTTATATATCGGAAGATTATAATTTGTCTTAATTAAGTAAAAGTCATTATTATTATTATTTATGTTTCTGACATGCTGTACACCTTGTCTTAATTATCCAATATAACGCTAGTGTTACATATGTTTGCTACTTTCGTGCATGATATCGTACTACAATTTACGGTGGGTTTTAAATCAGATTGCGAATTTAAACTTTTACTGTGGAAATCCGTTCTTACACATATATATATATGTGACAGCTTTTTTATCTAAACTGATACTTTTTTAAAAATAAAAGTTATATTTTTATCTAACTGATCTTTCTAATACAAACGTACTAAGAAACCTGCCCCCCCCCAGTGGCACAGCGGTATGTCTGCGGACTTACAACGCTAGAAACCGGGTTTCGATACCCGTGGTGGGCAGAGCACAGATAGCCCATTGTGTATCTTTGTGCTTAACTTCAAACAAAAACAAAACTAAGAAACCACTGTTTTGGCACAAAAGTCACACAGTTAGCTGTCTGCGCTCTGTCCACTGCAGGAAATCGAACTCCAGATTTTAGTGTTCTACGTTCGTAAGTTTGTCGCTGATACAGGCGGAAAACGTATCTCTAGCGACAAGATGGCATCTTGCGTATAGTTTGTTTGTTTGTTCGTTCTTCAGCACAAAGCTAAACAATGGGCTATCTGTACTCTGCCAACTACCGACATCGAAAACCGACCTGTAGTTGCTAGAAACCGGGTTTCGATACTCGTGGTGGGCAGAGCACAGATAGCCAGCTCATTGTGTAGCTTTGTTTTTAACTTCAAACAAACAAATAAATAAAAACTATTATCACTGATATTTTTGAGATAAATAAAATTCCAAGTATGACAAGAAAGTAAATATGAAAATATATAGACGCTTAGATTTGTAGCTATGAACCACACCATAATAGGCTTAGCATCAACAGTAGTGTTTGAAGATGAAACTTGTGGTATATGATTCATGATCGTAGCTTAGTGTGTACGAGTGTGTGTGTGTGTGTGTTAGACTCTATACACTTCAGATACACGTAGATTTAATATTATTTGTGTCTTATATAACCATTAACTCGTATAAATATCTTAAAAATTACACGTGTGGATTATTTCAATTGGAAATCTAGCCACGTCCATTGTAAGTTTAACAAGAGTTTGGCCAATACAGTTCCTACTTTGAACGATATTAACCTCTCTACAAGACTCAGCAGTTAGTCTAAGGGCTTATAACGGACATATAGTGTTTGTGAATCTGTTTTTGTTTTTTGTTGTTTTTTTTGTTGTTGTTGTTAGAGTAAAGCCATATCGGACTATCTGCTGTGTTCACCGCGGAAATCGAACCCCGGATTTCAGCGTTGTAAATTCGTAAACTTACTGCTGTCCCACCAGGGGGATTATGAATCGGAAAGGATTTAGATAAAAGTTTCACTCTAATCGATAGAAAATGTACAAAATTAATATATATATATTTGTACAATAAATTTTAAATAAACTTTACAGACCAGGTTGTTGTTGTTGTTGTTATGTAATTACATTAGGCACTTGCAGTCAACAGTTTTTCTAAACCAATGTTTTGTACATATTTATCAAATGACACGCAATGTTGTTTGTCAGTATAAATAAAACTTAGATGGTCTTGGAGCTCGCGAAATAACTGTAAATAAGACTTCTGAGTGTAAATAAGACTTCTGAGTGCCAATTTGTTCCATCGGAATGGAACTTTGAAAACGCACTGTAAAAATAAAACAAAAAGCAATACGTGCTGTTCAATCGATTGGGGTCTAATTGCATAATGTCACCAAAGACCAGAGCGTTTTCCTAAACGCATTTCTTCTCTCTCTCTCTCTCTATATATATATATATGTATTTGTTTTTGAAGATTGAAGATGGTTCTTGTAGCTGTGAGAAAGAAATGCTGGAAATGCGACTTTTGGTATTTTAGAAAAAAAAAAAAAAGGTATAATGGAAAATATTTTAATATAAAAACAATTTGTTGCACAATGAAATAAAAAAGGACAAAATGAAAGACATATAGATAAATATACTTAAAGATTAGTAGATATAAATAGATGGATGAATATTACGTTTTGAACTGATGTGAATTTCCTCCCCTCACTTATTTACTTGTATATGTTTTATATAATTGACAATGCACCAAAGAATCATACACCTAGAGTCTAAAACAGAAGTAGTGATCTAACAGGGGGCGATAAGTGATAGTTTTGGGAAGCGCGTGTGTGTCTGTCTACCGACGGGAATCAAACTTCTAATTTTAGCGTTGTAAATCCGAAGACTTACCGCTGTTCCCACCGAGGGAATTTTTTTTTGGGGGGGGGGAAGCATTCATTATTGTTGCAAAGAAGAGAAATAACTCGTTTATACAATTTAATGGTTTGTATATCCCCAATTAATTATGAAGTTTATGCCTTTCAATGGAAGATATTGTTGAAAAATCTAATTCGTACGGTACAGTATAATTTAGAGATCAATAGTGTAGACGTAGATTAAGAACATGCAGTGTCTCGACTATTAATCGATCTATTAAGAATTGGCAAAGATAATAGAAATCAATAAATTGTCTTTTATTCAGTTGTGTGAAGACAAGGCCTGTCATAGATAGTGAAGTTTAAACATATTATGTATAGAATGAGAATGAAATATTTCTTGTTAAGCCCTAATCTAAATGGTGCATAAATGTGATAGAAGTGGCAATCGTGAGGATATATAATAACATACATATGGAACCCACTCCACCACTTGGTTCTCCCCTTTCACGGAGTTTAAAATGATTTTTGGTGAATTCGACGTCTTATCGGTAATAGAGCAAACCAAGAAAACTAAACTAGGCTTATAGTGGTGGAGTCAGTGGCGTAACTGTGCCGATGCAGCCGATGAAATGGCATTGGGGTCCGCACCTGTAAGGGGCCCAAACAGGAATGTCAATGATAAAAATAAAAACATTGAAAAAATATATAA